CAAAAGTGTAACAAACAGCAATATCTTACCTTCTGATTGGCACACAAAACCTGATGCCATGTCACACACTAAAGCATCCTGAAACCCAAAAGACATGATGTGTCCCCCAAATAGCAGCGCAGAGCCAGCACACAGCTGGACCACAACAATGAATCAGCTGCTCAATGAGCACTACACAAACTATTTAAATAAATAACCCGTTGGACGAGCCCCCATTTGTTGCGACCTGGCTCAAAAGGCCACAACAAAAAGGAGACACAACATGTCAACGGGTAGGTAAAGGTGTTTATTTGCACAACACTGGTCAATTCAACACATTGGTTATACTCATCAGAGCCGGGTGCCTGCAGGAAAACAGAGCGAGAGAGCAGACAGGAGCAGAGAGGCTTTAAAATAACTGCAGAGCACCAGACCCAGGTGCCCTGAGTTACTGCAATCGGTGCAATCACTGGAGCCAATGCAGCACAGACAGAACAGCCACACCCTATCTACTGATGCACCCACAGGGGCATCACAATCTCATATAGTCCAAAGTGGACTGTGGCAAAGAAAAGCACAACAGCTTCAAAGCTGTACTGATAAAACAAATGAGAACATATTGTAAATCAAGGCAAATATTATTTGAACCAGCTCATGGTTTGAAATGGCAAACATTACAAATAAAAAGTATTATTAAAACCATGTACTAAATCATCACCTTGGTCCCATCATATACTCTGGGAAGAGAATATTTACTGTGCTTGAAAACTGGTATCACATCATCATGGGAGGTTGACTTTGTGACCTGGAGAACATTTCAGCTGCAACATTAGCTTGTTGATAAGCTTGGGATATGAGATCTTTTTGTAGCCATTCGTGGTGAAGGCATCTGTGCTATTGTATGCATTATTTTTGACCCAACATTTCTACAGGCATGGCAGAATATGGCCCTATTTTCACATGAATATTCTAGCCATTGTCTATTTGTATACCACGAGCTGCAAGATGACCGCCTAACCCCACTGTACTAATATAATATCCAAGGGATGCATGCAGAGCTGTCATTGGCTGAGATAAGTCCGGCCGTGCGTCACGCCTCCACCGTTCCCGGAAATGCATCAGTGGAGGAGCCGTGGAGGATGCATCAGTGGGCCTTTCTCACTTCTCTTATTTTTCATTTCCTCGCTCCTCGGTCTCGGTCTCGGTCTCACCGGAAGTTGATTTGTCTGCGCCATCTTGAGTAGCGTCCCAATGGCCTTATTTCTGCCAGAGGAGCGAGGAGCGATAATGGAGGAGCTATAATCAAGGAACCACCAGACCATCCTTCGATGAAATCCTCAGACACTCGCCCCGCCCCCTTACTGTGCATCGCTCACTGATTGGACGAGGCAGTGCATGCACTGATCTGATGCTTCTTGACATGAGTGCAGTTTCCCAGCGGAGTGAAGAAAACACATGAACCTCACGGGAGTCACTCCTCAGTTTATACCGTGTTTTGTTTCAATTCATGTTTCATTTAGTTACAAATATGTGATATATCTGAACAACAAAGTGGTCAAAAATCATTTTATTCATTTATTGGAAACATTTTCATGATCGCTTTTTTCGTTTATACATTTTCATTTATTGTCATTTCCATTCAGTCATTAAGTGCTATTAAAATGTTAATGTGCTACATATCCACACAAACAAACAAAGTGTGCAATTCAATGAATGTTAATCTAACTGGGTTTTGATAGATAACATATCTCTTTTTCTTCTCTCAATTATTTTATTTCTATTGTGCACTCTAATCAATATTAATCCAAATAATGTTCGTTTATACATTTTAAGAATGGCGTTTATCTTTTTTGAGAATTAGTTCTTATTTTATTTAATGTATTTGGGTCTACAACAGATGATACAAATGTTTGTGTCAGTAAATGTGTACTAACAGAGGCGGGGGTGTTTGTGAACACAACGGGGACAGAGCTGGGGCCTATACTACGAAGCTGGTTCAACCTAACCTGGATATGTTTGAGTTAGCCGGTTGGCCTAATCCAAAACATACGCGCTCTCGCTAAACTGTACGACGCTGGTTATCAAGTGGATCGCTCAAGCCAGCCGTTTCCTATCGTGTGCGTTCACATGAAAGGGGTGGTATTTGGAGCATTCGACCAATCACAAACATGGAGAAGCGCACTGACAGCGCAGCGTCATACTTCCTGAATGAAAAGTGAACTTTAATACTAGTCAAAAATGAAGAAGTTAAACTTGAAACATCCATGACTTAAACACTTTATCCAGGATAAAAGCCACATAGCTGCACCTGCAAGGTGAATACAACTGGCAAAAGAAAAAGTGTTTGAATGCGTACATTAACAGGTTTATGATATCACTGCCCCGTCTAAAACACGATTTGACTTTCATTACATTTGAGTGTCATGACCGAAAGAACGAGATCACGGATACAAGCGGCCGAGATGGGTTTTCTCCGCAGGGTGGCTGGTGTCTCCCTTAGGGATAAGGTGAGAAGTTCGGTCAACAGGGAGGGACTCGGAGTTGAGCCGCTCCTCCTTCGCGTCGAAAGGAGCCAGTTGAGGTGGTTCGGGCACCTAGTTAGGATGCCACCTGGGCGCCTCCCTAGGGAGGTGTTCCAGGCACGTCCAGCTGGGAAGAGACCAAGGGGTAGACCTAGGACCAGGTGGAGGGATTATATCTCTTCGCTGGCCTGGGAGCGCCTTGGGATCCCCCAGTCAGAGCTGGTTGATGTCGCCAGGGAAAAGAAAGTTTGGGGCTCTCTGCTGGAACTGCTACCCCCGCGACCCGACCACGGATAAGCGGGAGAAGATGGATGGATGGATGGACATTTGAGTGTTTCGTCAACTTAATGTGTTGCTTAAAATAATACTTCTGCATACAGTATGTGACACTGTAGCCTAAGTGTTGCACGGCCAGATACGGCTCAAGAAGCTGACTCAGATAAGGAGATATATGATACATTATGAAGTGATATGATGTGATATGAATGATAATGGGACACATCGACGTCTGCACTCAGTGTACTTATGTTGTGGCAGATATTTAAGTAAGCTTTCTTAACGCTAATGTTATAATAGTCAGATTGCTCTGAAGATGGGAGGTGATATTCTATTCATTTTCACGTTCACACAGTCGGTGATTTTTGCCGGCCGTCTTTCCTGCAACGGCAGCTTTTCTGTATTTCCTTTCTCCTGTAATATGACTTGATCGCTTTAAACTCCGCACACTGAGCTCTGATTGGTCAGGAGGCGGTGCTTTCACTGAGTTGATCTCTTAGCCAGCTTCGTAGGACCGGAAAGCCGGAGTGTTCCCTGAATTTAGCCGGCTAAGCGAAAATCCTGCTTCGTAGTATACCCCCCTGCTGTCAGACGATCAGCTGTGCGGCATCGCAAACAGACTTCGCTTCACGTGACGCTCCGGAGGAAAGGACGTCCCATTGCTCTTAAAACTAATTTCCCTGCTTCTCGTGGTTTCCTTAGAGGCTTCTCAATACTCAAATGTCCCCTCCTCGACTCCTCGGTCCTCGGTCCTCCGGTAGTGACCCGGAAATGAATTTCAGCGCGCCATTTTGAAGGACATCTAATTTCTCTAAATGCACACCGAGGATCGAGCGTCGAGGAGGCTCTCTGGAGGAGCTCTAACCGAGGATACACTGATGGTTCCTCCACGGCTCCTCCACGGATGCATTTCCGGGAACGGTGGAGGCGACTTATCTCAGCCAATGACAGCTATGCATGCATCTTCTGGATATTATTTTAGAAACTGCTTTCATCGCGTCGCGATGTTTCCAGAGAGAACAGCTGTAAGGTCCATGCAGAAAGCAGAGCAGTGTGTATAATATATATCACTCAGTATAACAGGCCTACTCTCTTCATTTGCTTTAGTTTAGTAGATATCTACAAACAAAGAGTCCATATTTTTCTAAGACCATTTAGTGCTTCACATAATAAAATACACAACGGCTTATGCTTTAGGAGCTGGTGTGTGTGGTACAGTGTGTAGGTGTGTGTGTGGTACAGTGTGTAGGTGTGTGTGTGTGGTACAGTGTGTAGGTGTGTGTGTGGTACAGTGTGTAGGTGTGTGTGTGGTACAGTGTGTAGGTGTGTGTGGTAGGCTACAGTGTGTAGGTGTGTGTTGTACAGTGCGTAAATGCGGCGGACAGACGGGTCTCAGTTGGTTTGGTGTCCTCTGCTTACTTTTAATAGGCCTACTTGTAAATACAACTTTTGGCCCGTAATTTCAATTCCCCATTTCAGCGACCAGAGAGAGGGGGGGGGGGGGGGGATATATCCAGTCTCTGATTGTGTTACGTTATTATGAGAGTGCTCTCATACTTTAAATTGTATATATTTATATAAATATATTTGTGTGTGTGTGTGTCCGCATCTGTAGCCTGTTATTGTCTCATTATACCGCACTCTCAATGAATTCAAAGTAAATATGTGGGGGAACAATGTTCAGCTGATCTAACAGAGATACAGCGCTATGACAAAACACTGGACAGCTGATGCAGCTGTTGCCACGTAATAATGAACGGACGTCTCTTTAAAATGACCGCTCAGAGGAGAGGAGTTCTCATTTCTTTAAACGTCTGCTGCTTCCCCTCCTCTCTCCTCGGTCCTCCGCTCGCATCTCCTGTGGGCGGGTCTAAGTCTCGAGGAGGGGAACCGAGGAGGGGAGTCGAGGAGGGGAGTCGAGGAGGGGAAATTTGAGTATTGAGAAGCCTCTCTTGCGTCTCTCCATGCTTCCCTGGTGGGAGGGACTTGTCGCAGGGAAACGACGCAAGTGAGGGACGCAAGGAATCCATTTAACTGAAGTGAGAAGGACCCTCGGTCCTCGAAGTGCATTTAGAGAAATGAGATGTCCTTCAACATGGCGTGCTGAAATTCATTTCCGGGTCACTACCGGAGGACCGAGGAGTCGAGGAGTCGAGGAGGGGAAATTTGAGTATTGAGAAACCTCTCCTGTTTCCACCCTCCTGTGCAGCAGGCGGCGGTATGCCCCGGCCTTCAGGCTGTCAGAGGAAGAAAGAACATTCCAGAGCTAACAGCCCGACCCGCGACCTCGAGCCGTGAGTGTGGAGAACAGTGACTACTGTATCTAGACCACTGAGGATGGTATGGACCTTTACTGAACAGGAAACACTGGAGTAAATGTAAGCGCGGTCATTTCGTCGTTACGAATTCAGTGAGCTTACTTACTTGGAGATGTGTCTAAAGTGACATGTTAGTCGGTGCAGGGCAGTTGTGAAGGTCTTATAACTGCTATATAGGCTAAACTAAAGTACCCTTGCGTAAAAAACGTGTTTAACGTTTACGGTTAGATCTGTCCGGTATTATTTGCTTTGATTTCTGTTTGTTCTTTGCCAACTAACGTTAGCTCTTAGCAAAGTTAAGGGCCACGTTACCAAACTAACGTCTGTCAGTTTGTAACACTGAAGCCACAGCTAACAGTCCCACAGCAGCCCGTCTCCTCGGGCTCCAGGTTAGCTAGTTCCAATGTGTGTCTGAATACAGCTGTAACACCCACATGAACAGTGATGGAATGTAACTAAGTAGGGAGTTGCAACCCTTTTGGGTTTTTCCCCAATAAGTAAAAAAACATTTACAATAGGATAGCTATTTTGCTATATTATACATTATCAATATGTCAGCTACTGAAACAATGTATTTAAGATGTTTTTATGAAATAAGTACAGGTTGGAAAGTGTATTTTTTTTTTAAAACTCAACAAGGACAGTTGTAACACATGCCAGGCACGGTTGTAACATGTTAATAACGGTTACCTTTTTCACACTACATGACAACAAATAGGGAAAGCTGTCAAATTCTAAGGCAACAAGATTTGAATGGGGTTTCACACATCCTCCATCAAACAATGAGCAATGAACAGGATAACAGATAACACACACAGCATCATCCTCTGAAGGATTAAACTGTTCTCTGAGAGGTGCTTCTACCTTAATGATGTAGACCTACCTCCTTTGAGCTGAGACCATAATATAAATCAGCTGCCTCCATCAGGTAGTCTCTCAAAAGCATCTCCTGCTCTGTTGAGAACACCTTCTTTGGTGTCCAGTAGCCTACTCTTGGGGGTGTTTGTGATCCCTGACTCTCCAACCTCAGCCTCTTTGCATGGAACCGGTACAGGCTGACATGGCACTTTGCCACTTCCCTGAATGATTTGCCCTTCTCAACTTCATTTGAGGCTCTCTGCAGCAGAGCAAGTGACACTCCCGTGTCTGTCTTCCTCTTTCTGACATTTGGCATATACTGTAAACACACACACACACACACACACACACACACTTTAGGCCTACTGTACAGTGTTATATTCTGTTTATTTTTACAGGGACAATGCACACCAATCAACAATACAACTGTATGCTTGAATGAACAATTGATCATTCAAGCAAATGAGCCATCATTGTAAATGTGCCATGTTACAACCGTCCCGTTACAACCGTCCCAGGACCACCAGTCTTGCTTCCACCCCCTGTGAACCTGCCTGATTGCTAGCTTGACCCATATTTAGCTAGTTATATTTGTAGCTTACAAAACAGTGATTCTAATAATACTAGTTTGGATTCCTAGACATTTGAACTCAAGACAGTATCCAAAAAATACATCATATAATTGTAGTTAATATTTTACCTCAGAAACACACTTTTGCTGATATCTTACGCGAGAAATTCAAACATGGCTCCTTTTTTTCTCAGCGATCTTACCATCTAACTGCGCATGTGCAGAGTGAGTTTCATCACTCTAGCTTGTTTGTGATTGGAGATATTGAAGGTGTTACAACCGACCCGTGTTACAACTGTCCCTGGTCTCCCCTACATTTACTCAAGTACTGCAGTAAACAAATTGAGTTACTTGCGCTTTACTTGAGTATTTTTCACATATTGCTACTTATACTCATTTTGGAGGATGTAGTGACTAGTTACTTTGCAGATTTAGATTACAATACAACATATTCAATTCGCTACTACATTTTTTATATTTAATTATAGGTTAAGCCAGCCAGTGTGTGTATAAAATGATTCTAATAACCCCCCTTTTACCAAGTCCAAACTTGGAGTTATGAATACATACCATTACTTTTACGTTTTAAACTAAAAGTATATTTTCATGTTATTGGCTTAACAATTTGCTTCAATAACGAGAAACACATCATCCATTTTATTAATATTAATATATTTATTTGTTTAATGTATTTTTATTCTTGGCTACTTAGAGTAGAAATGCAAAAGGTGTGCCCTGAAGACCTATAGATAGGCTTCAAAACCTAATACACAGCAAATGGAAAGATCTTTACCAATGTACCTGCATATTGGTTAGGTGTATCTGTTTTATCTCTAAACACTGCTTGTGGAAAAAAGTATATAAACAGTCACCCATGGACTTATATGTCAAACAAACCCATGTTCTTGTGTTTCCTCAGCATGGAGTCCGGTCATCTCCTCTCTCCTGAGTCCACGGTGACGTCCCTGCTGTCCAGCTCCAGTCACCTGAGGAGCAGCCTGCTGGCTCCTGAACACAACACCACCTTCAGATACAGAGATAAGGTCTGCTTCTACTGGGGTCAGCTGTCTACAGTAGGGATGGGGCACAGTGGAGGATATCTGCCTGTCTTTATTTCCTGTCTTGTTATCATAACCGAGCCAAAGTGGGCAGCCATTTATACCAGACCTGACAATGAGGTATTTTTCTGTACACCAGCATGGCACTGAGGTTCTCAGAGCTCAATCAGAACGTGTCGGTCGAAGTTATGCTCTGAGTTTTAGTTAAAGATCATTCTAAAGATCAAAGAAGGTTATTATTATGAGTGGTTCAAATACAAATTCTTACCTGCTTCCGATAAAATAACTCCAGCATTCTTTCTGTTCTTAGGAAAAATACAAAAAGACAAGCTGTTGGCCCAGAAGATGTTTATGGGGCTGGGCTTACTAAAAATGTATCTCATGCTTAATGATTGAATCATGGATATATGGATTGCAGAACTACACCTCGGCCTCTGCGGCGTTGGACGCCTACATCTCAGACTTTGAGCGGAGTCAGAGCAGCCAGTTTGTTACGAGGGGGCTGGTTCTGCCTCACAGTCTGCCCTCCACGCCGAGGGGACCCAGAGCGAGCACGCTCAGAAACACAGATGGTGGGTCACCACATTCTTTAAGTTAATACGTTTGTTTTATGATAGTTTATCTTTATGTGATTGTCTTCTTTTGTTTCTTTAGTTCTCAGGGAACATTTGACCGACAGAGAGCTGGACTTCCTGAGCCTTCCCGTTAGCTCCCTCCATCACTGTGGCAACAGAGATAGACTCTCCATGACTACAGACGAGCTGCTATCTATTCCTTATGACGGCTCAATGCCTGTCACGCACACCTCCGCCTTCCTCCAAGGTCATTAAACGCATCACTCAAACTCCCCCTGACTTCCTCTGAGAATCAATGCTTTCCCCTCACCTCTGACTTCATCTGAGGTCATTTAATGCATCACTCCTTTCTCCTCCTCCATCTTATGTTTCTGAATGCATCATGTTGGGATGATGGCAATTTTCTGTGTTTCAGAAATTGTGTGGTGACTAGGGGTGTAACGGTATCCATATTCGTCCAGAACGTCACGGTTCGGACGTCACGGTTCGGACGTCACGGTTCGACACATGCAGTCACACGACGAATACGCCTTTTTTTATGAGTGGGAAAAAAGTCTGTCACTGAGGACAGTATTCATTACACTATATATAATCCAGGGGGTGGTATTGTGCCTAAAAGCTGTTTGCCTGCCGCCCTTAAACAACAAATGAAGAAGAAGAAAACACAACAAAACGAACAAAATACAAGAAGAAGAGAAGTTAGTATTGCGATTTCAGATAACACACAGGAGCTAGAAGAACCACCTGCTTCGTTTAAATCAGCTGTGTGGGAACATTTTGTGTTCCCTGTGGACTACAATAATGATGGAGTGCGAGTGGTGGATCGGACGAGGACGGTGTGTTGGTGTTGTTCGACAGCGGTAACACACGCCAAACATGCTAAATCATATCAGAAGGCATCACCCAGATTTGCCAATAGCCGCTTTCACACCAAGTACTTTGCCGTACTTAGTTCCCAGCACTTAGTTCCCCCATGAAACTAAAGAGCAGATCGCGTTCACACCGGAATAAGTCCCTGAGGGAAGATTACTCAAATGAAGCCGCTGACGTCACTTCTTCTTCTGCTTTGGGTTTACTGGCAGGCCGCAAACAACTTCACGGCGTATACTGCCACCCGAAGTCCCCGGCCGGAAGTCCCCGGAGTTGGGGACTGGCGTCAACAGAAGCTGCTGGGACACCCAGCCGCTTCTACTGAAGCCTTCCGAGTAAATCGCCAGAACGCCGACACCTCCTCATCACTCCACCGCTCCCATGTTTTTTTTTGTTGTGTTGCCATAAGTTAGTCTTTCTCCGTTGGTGCGCTGGGCTAATGCTAATTAATGCTAATAATGCTAATGCCAGCAAATACAATGGCGGCTTCACAACATTTTTCAGAGTTTAACGGGGCGTGGTTTGCAATTCGCCCAGCCAATCAGAAATTGGAACTTTTTTCTCCCCAGGAAAGTACCTGCTCTCTAGCAGGGACTGAAAAGGGGGGAAAAGTTCTCATGAACTAAGTTCTCTTTTGGTGAGAACGCAAAATCCCAGGAACTATCGGAACTAAAAGGAAAAAGTACTCCGGTGTGAAAGCGCCTAATCACCGGTGCCCGGCAAAAGACAACAGCAGTTCAACAGCTGATCCCCGCTGTTTTTAAGAAGCCAATAGACATGAAAGCCGAGAGACCAAAATAAATAACGGAAGCTATTGGCATATATATTTCAACGGCTATACGCCCTTGAAACACTTTCTTATTATTTATTTTGTAATATTTTCAAGACATTATTTTTAGTTTTACAGCTTGATGAAATCTTTTTGTTTGACATCAGCCATTATAGATTATATGGCCATCTGCGTGTGTGTGGTACTGTTTGTGGTTTGTTTTTAACTGTATTACCGTAATTATTCAAAATGTTAGAGTTCCTTATTTTTATACTGAAACTTGCACTACTGTTCAAAAATAAATAACAACAAATTATTATTACAAATGCATAATTATTAGAATTATGCATTTGGGACTTTTTTTAAGCTTTTTCTTGTTGTGCCGAACCCGTACCGAACCGTGACCCGCAAACCGAGGTACGTACCGAACCGTGAATTCTGTGAACCGTTACACCCCTAGTGGTTACAGGATAAATGGGTTGATAGAACTAATAATCGATGGATGAGTCAATAACTAATGTTTTGTCTCCTCTGCTGATCCAGGTCTCCTGTCACAGTGCGGAGCCCCCCAGCCCAGAGCAGCACACAGGAACCGGGACAGACTCAGCAGCAGCTACCCTGCCCCCCAAATGAAGTCCCACCACCCCCATCCAACCAGGAGCTCCAGGTCAGTGCTCCTGCCACTTATCTGTCTCACTATGATTTTTTCTAAAAGATCTCCGTTCTCTCCTATTAGGAGGTCAGGGGTTCTCAACCTTTTTTAAGGCCCACTTTCCCCAAAAACAAGAACAAATGACAAAAATTAGTTATTGTCCGAATGCCGCAGCAGAAATTGAGACTCTTCAGATCAGGCAACATTTTAACAATCTTCTATTGTCCAGGTTTGGTGAGCCAGTGTGAATAGGAGCCTAAGTTTTCTGTTCTTATCTGACAGGAGGGGCACCCTGTGGGGTCTTCTGCTGCTGGAGCCCGTCTGCTTCAAGGTTCCCTGTGTTGTGTTCAGAGATGGTCTTCTGCATACCTTGGTTGTAACCAGTTTGTTGGAGCCATAAATGCACGTGTCTTTGTTTGTATTTTATCTGCACGTTTAATTAATGATGGTGTATTCACTTGTGTGTGTGGATAAATGTAATCACTAGGTGATCAGGTGCAGGTGTTTTGGAACGGAAGCAAACGGTTTTCGACCATGTCGGCAGAAGCTGTGTCAATATGAGCTGTGTGTGTTAAACCTGTTTGTATTCAGCGTGACTGCCGTGCATATATTGGTATCTGAATGATAACAGAAAGGCTATATGGACAACAAAATAAAAGGATCGATGGATTGAAAGATATACACTCGTATAGACATTGTTTTGTCATATGGAACACGCGTCCGAACTTACACTGAACAAAAATATAAATGCAACACTTTTGTTTTTGCTCCCATTTTTCATGAGATGAACTCAAAGATCTAAAACATTTTCTATAAACACAAAATAACCATTTCTCTCAAATATTGTTCACAAATCTGAAAAAATCTGTGATAGTGAGCACTTCTCCTTTGCCGAGATAATCCATCCCACCTCACAGGTGTGGCATATCAAGATGCTGATTAGACAGCATGATTATTGCACAGGTGTGCCTTAGGCTGGCCACAATAAAAGGCCACTCTAAAATGTTCAGTTTTATCACACAGCACAATGCCACAGATGTCGCAAGTTTTGAGGGAGCGTGCAATTGGCATGCTGACAGCAGGAATGTCCACCAGAGCTGTTGCCCGTGAATTGAATGTTCATTTCTCTACCATAAGCCGTCTCCAAAGGCGTTTCAGAGAATTTGGCAGTACATCCAACCGGCCTCACAACCGCAGACCACGTGTAACCACACCAGCCCAGGACCTCCACATCCAGCATGTTCACCTCCAAGATCGTCTGAGACCAGCCACTCGGACAGCTGCTGCAACAATCGGTTTGCATAACCAAAGAATTTCTGCACAAACTGTCAGAAACCGTCTCAGGGAAGCTCATCTGCATGCTCGTCGTGCTCATCGGGGTCTCGACCTGACTCCGGTTCGTCGTCGTAACCGACTTGAGTGGGCAAATGCTCACATTCGATGGCGTCTGGCACGTTGGAGAGGTGTTCTATTCACGGATGAATCCCGGTTTTCACTGTTCAGGGCAGATGGCAGACAGCGTGTGTGGCGTCGTGTGGGTGAGCGGTTTTCTGATGTCAATGTTGTGAATCGAGTGGCCCATGGTGGTGGTGGGGTTATGGTATGGGCAGGCGTATGTTATGGACGACGAACACAGGTGCATTTTATTGATGGCATTGTGAATGCACAGAGATACCGTGACGAGATCCTGAGGCCCATTGTTGTGCCAGTCATCCACGACCATCACCTCATGTTGCAGCATGATAATGCACGGCCCCATGTTGCAAGGATCTGTACACAATTCCTGGAGGCTGAAAACATCCCAGTTCTTGCATGGCCAGCATACTCACTGGACATGTCACCCATTGAGCATGTTTGGGATGCTCTGGATCGGCGTATACGACAGCGTGTTCCAGTTCCTGCCAATATCCAGCAACTTGGCACAGCCATTGAAGAGGAGTGGACCAACATTCCACAGGCCACAGTCAACAACCTGATCAACTCTATGCGAAGGAGATGTGATGCACTGCGTGAGGCAAATGGTGGTCACACCAGATACTGACTGGTTTTCGGACCCCCCCAGACCCCCCCAATAAAGCAAAACTGCACGTTTCAGAGTGGCCTTTTATTGTGGCCAGCCTAAGGCACACCTGTGCAATAATCATGCTGTCTAATCAGCATCTTGATATGCCACACCTGTGAGGTGGGATGGATTATCTCGGCAAAGGAGAAGTGCTCACTATCACAGATTTTTTCAGATTTGTGAACAATATTTGAGAGAAATGGTTATTTTGTGTATATAGAAAATGTTTTAGATCTTTGAGTTCATCTCATGAAAAATGGGAGCAAAAACAAAAGTGTTGCATTTATATTTTTGTTCAGTGTAGTTCTCCCGTTCCCATCCCTCAGTGGCTTAAGTATGGATAAAGTTAAAAGCCACTACACAGTTGTTATTTGAGTTACTATTGTCTTTCTATCATCTTTAACAAGTCCAGTGCCCCAAAACTGGCTTCAAAATAAAAGCATTATGAAATACTAGCTAAAATAATTACAATAAGCTAGAAAACAAATGTTTAATTACTAAATAACATAAATCAATGTTACAATCACATTTGACTTTTTAATTTCTTTGTCCTTCTCTCCAGGTGCAGAGGCAGACCGGGGGCAGCCATGATGAATCCAGACGTTGACATGGTCTCCCCCCACAGGGTGACTATCATCACATTGCAATGTGTGTTCTGGGCTCTGCCTCTTAACAGGACTGTAGTGTTGTCATGGTTTCCTCTTTGTGTCTCAGCAGTGTACACACAGAGCAGACCCCTCTGTGTGTCTGCACCTCCCCCGCTGGTTTACCTCCAACAAGACCGACATGGACTGTTCTGGGATCAGCAGTGTGCCGGACCAGAAGTACCCAGCCTGGATCCAGCGCTGTGATGTCAGCGAGCGGCCCCCACCCTCAGAGTCAGATTTGTGGGATGAGCAAGGTACGCCCCCTTGAGCTTTGATAAAAAATATGGATGCACCGAATAGAATAGAAAACCAACATATTATTTTTTAATTAAAGTTAAAAAATCTGTAGTATCTATGGCCCTTGTGTGCTTGTATGCACCCATCCATTTGCTGAAACATAACGTGTGTGTGTGTGCAGGTGCGCCGTAAGGGGGTGAAAAGTTAGGACGATTCTAAGGGCTCGTGACTGACAGGGGCCCAAACTATTTTAGAACGTGTGTGTGTGTGTGTGTGTGTGTGTGTGTGTGTGTGTGTGTGTGTGTGTGTGTGTGTGTGTGTGTGTGTGTGTGTGTGTGTGTGTGTGGTGTGTGTGTGTGTGTGTGTGTGTGTGTGTGTGTGTGTGTGTGTGTGTGTGTGTGTGTGTGTGGTGTGTGTGTGTGTGTGTGTGTGTGTGTGTGTGTGTGTGTGTGTGTGTGTGTGTGTGTGTGTGTGTGTGTGTGTGTGTGTGTGTGTGTGTGTGTGTGTGTGTGTGTGTGTGTGTGTGTGTCACCTGTAGATCCCAGAGGTGGCGCTCCTTCCTGGGTAGCAGAGCTGGACCACGAGGATCAGACCCTTTCACAGGCAAGACAACTCTTTTGGAACATATCATTAAAAATAACAATGTATAAAGTCAGCAGCTTGTGTGTGTGCAGGTTGACAGTTGGCAGACTCTGAGAGATCTGAGGCTTCAGTTAGCTGAACACATCTCTCTACTCGCTGCAGAGAACAACAGATCGGGCATTGTGGAAACTATGTTCAGAGGTAAAAGACAAACGACTGACAGAAGACTACATATGTGTTCTACAGAGCAACACTGATGTTCTGTCTCTCTGGCTTCTCCCTCCCTCAGACAACAGGCTGGAGTCTCTGATCCAGAAGGCCGATCAGGTGCTGAGCTGTCTGACTCACAATCCTGCAGGTCCAGTAAAAACCTCAGAGCTTTACCTGACCTTAGCTTTATTATTTAAGCTTTGTTTAGATGTTTATTTTTGTATTTTTATTACATTTAGTAAATTGTATACTTTATACAAAAAGAGAGCACAAGGAAGGTTAGCAAGCAAACTAAATCAGAAGAATTGAGTGTACTGGCAGAACAGGATTTACCTCTACAGTCAGGGGTTGCACTGCTCTTCACGTAGCTTCCTCATCGGACTGCAACTCCTCAAACCGCTCTGGACAGACCACATGGAGATGGCTAAAGGATTTGACAGTTTGAGCTGCTTGTGTATTCTTAGCAGAGGTGGCGACTCGAGTCACATGACTTGACTCGAGTCGCATATTTTTGGACTTGAGATTTGCTTGACTAACCAGGGCTCGACATTAAGGACTGCCCGATGGCCCGGGGCCATCTAGTATTTAGCTCGGGCAATGAAGCCTCACCTGCTGGTTGCCCGACCGGGCAATCTATTATGCCAGTATCATGCAGCTCGCGGATCCAGTAATGAGTGACCCGACAGTAAAACTAAACATATCTATAACTAGTTTAGATAGTTTGAGAGGTAATTAAAATAGCTACGTGTGATATTCTAACCTGAAGTGTGTGTGTTTTGTCCGCTCACCGCTGCAGGTGATTATGCAGAGCTGCGTGTCGACTCGTCAGCAGCAGCTGATCTCTCTCTCCCGTCAGTTTAGACTTCACTCGCGTTTATGTCCATATCGATCAGATCCAGCTAGTTCTAGCTAATGATATGACTACCTGCTTATTAAAAGACACCTAAACAATAAGTGTCGCTATGCAACCGGGTGAGGCCACAAAGTATAGCGCAGCATTATGCATTTGTTTACATGCCCACCGGAACCCCGAGGCATTACCAACAGATCAACGCACAATCAACCCACACAGGAAATCTCTTTCTCCACATTAAGTGTTAGACATTATAATTGACTATTCTTGTCTGTCACATACTTTCTTGTCTGTCACATAAGTGGCGCAACTGAAGCGGTATTGGGCTAAAGGGAAATTATTTTGACCGGACATTTTGACCGAAGAGATTTAGATTTGCCGGCTAACGGGAACTCTGACGTCGCCATTTTGTGTGCTTCGCGGATGCGCTCGGCTCCTCTCGACTGCTGCTCGGTCAGCTTCCGGATGAGGAGGCATTCGTTCGACCAACTTACAGTAGATAACATTACAAACATTTTTAACAGGGGCCATACTAGTGTAAATAATGTTTGTTTTGGCAGTTATAACTGAATGTAATGTTTTCTACTTTTTTACATCTGGGAAGCCATTTGCCTTCATCAGATGGAAAGTGTCTTGACCAACAACTTAAGTATTTATTATAGCTATGCAGGGCATGCAAGCGAGCAAACACAAACAAGAACAAACAAACAAGTGAAATGAAGAATACAATTGAAATTGTACAATACAATATTGTGGTGGTTCATCTTATAATTCAGTCTAGAGAATGCACCAGACAGCATCTAAGACCTGCACAAATCTAAATGTTCTAGGGGGACGGAGGCCCCCCAAACCCTTCGTGCGTCATTTCGTCCGCGCGCATTTTTCAGGGCAATCTCTATTGGGCTCAGGGCCATCTGTAAATTAGCTTAGATGGCCCAGAGGGCCATCTCCCAACATCCTTAATGTCATGCACTGCTAACATTGATAAAAGACTTGACTTTGACTTGGTATTCATGACTTGAGACTTGACTTAAGCTTGAGATAGATGACTTGAAAGGACTTGACTTTTTAAAATTAAATATTTGCGTTTGTTTTTGTATTGAGATATTACATTTATTTTTTTCGAAACGTGATTGGGTGATTATAGCGCCGTGCACGCAAACCTGGCAACCCACTAGACGGCAGGAGTGTCAGTTAACATGGCAGCGGCTAGCTTTACTCCAAAAATAGTGAAGTTTGGATTCAAGGATTATGTTATCGATGACGGTAATAAGAAGAGAACAGCGGTATGCAAGGTCTGCAGCATAAAGAACAGTGACACGACCACCACAACATCCAACTTCATTCGTCACTACAAAAAAAACCACAGAGAAAGGTGCGTGCATGTGTTGTGTTAGCTAGAAAGCTAACGTTAAGTTTAAGCTACGTTAGACTTGGTTTCAAATCGATTAAGCAAAGAGAAGACAAAACGGTAAATGAACACTAGAACCTCCAAGGGATTCATTTGGACTAACCCTGATACTGACGGGCTGTCAGGAGGGGGGGAGAGAGAGAGAGGAAAAGAGATGCCTCGTTTATTTCCCCTGTGTTATTATTATCAGAAGTTACTGTAAACTTTTGAATAATGTAGTTCATCTACTTTTAGTAGTTTGTTTAAATGTTTTAATGATGTTGTTTTTGTTTGTAGAAGTGCATCATTCCTTGATTTATTGTAAAATGAATCTGAACTTTTTGATCTGTTATGATGATAAGCTGAAGCCATTTCAGTCCTACTTAGTTTATAAGGAAATGATGAAGAGGAACAAATGAAATGATTTGAAAATGATATCTATGAAGGTGCTGACGCTGTTGGCGGTTCTAGTGTTAACAGAAATTTAAATTAAATATGTGTAATGGCAAATTCCATATATGATTTTCTTACCTGGAATTCTGCCTTTTTGAACAGACTTTTTGAGTCCTAGCTATATTGTCTGCAGTTCTAGGGTTAATATGAATCTAATATGATTGCCATCGGTCTAAATTAGATTTCAAATGATTAACTGTGTATGTAATGAAGATTATAGTGTGGGTTGAATCCATTTTCATAACCACTGTCTTTGAACTGATTTAAATGGGGAAACTGGGCTTATTCATCAGAATTTCGTATGCCTTGACTTGACTTGCTTGACCTGAGCAATGACTTGACTTGCTTGACCTGAGCAATGACTTGACTTGACTTGCTTGACTCTCACCACAGTGACTTGGACTTGCTTGATACTTGTAGGTCAAGACTTGAGACTTGCTCATGACTTGCACATGTAGGACTTACTCCCACCTCTGATTCTTAGTGCTCGATATTCCTATCATCAGAGATAAGTCCTAGCCATTTCCTATACAAAACTTCCCATTTGACTTAATAACAGTGAATGAAAGAATGCAAACATCACAGTACTGTCAAACAGCAGGAATACTTCTCTGTGGGCTACTGACATTTTTGTCAGAACAGCATCACTGCATGGACATATTTTTCCCACACAGTGCTACCTTGATCTGATTGTATCTGTTGTTGCAGCAGTAGGTGGAGCTGATGGATCTGATGGAGCTGTCAGTTCAGCGAACACTGAGGAGCTGCTCTCTTCCTCTCACTGTTGTCCACCCATCAGGTAGGACTGATTTACTCTCCCTAAAATCTTAGTTGCAATCATTTCATATAACCAAACGTACTTAGTACTCTGTGATGTCACCTGCAGGGACTCCGTGACAGTGGGGGGTGTCACAGAGGCTGGGACTGACAGAGGGGCTCAGGTAGGTGTTAACTTCACATGCAGACAGATACCGCTGCTCTCTCTGTGATGTCAAACCTGTGACTCTAATCCTGAGCAGCGTCCAAATACCTGTTGTTGTCCCAATATGTTGTTGTCCCTTTGCTGGAATAGGCCTTAATGCCACGTGTGAGAGCCAACATGCTTGTTTAGCCATTGTGGATTATTTATATTTGTATCATTACTTGTGTACACCACACACCATTGTAATGAGTCTCTTCCTGCAATTTTCACATCAAGTTATTTAGTCCACCTGTGGTGTGCCGGGCATGATAGGGTTGAACAAAGAGGGTGATTTGGTTCCGATACCTTTTGTAGTCTTGCTGTAAATGCTTGTTTATCTTTATTAAGTTGTATGGAACACAAACTTCAGTAAGGACTGCTCATTGGGAGCGAGTCACAAGGAAGAACCAAACTTAGCTTCCCGAAACCTAATTCAATTTGTCTCTACACCACCACTTCAGAGTTTCCGTTATACATTTTTTTTGCCGGTCAACATGTCCATTAAAGTTAAAATCTTCCGGACAAAATGTGCCGGTCAAAGGTCTTCTTTATTATTTATTGAGCTTTAAAACAAATTGATATGATTCGATATTAAACAAACTAATTATAGTAGATTAACTTCATTATTCAAAAGTGTACAGTCATTTACAATAACACGGGAATAATAAACGGAGCGCTCTCTCCCTCTCCTGACGGCCCGTCAGTATCATGCAGCTCGCGGATCCAGTAATGAGTGACCCGACAGTAAAACTAAACATATCTATAACTAGTTCAGGTAGTTTGAGAGGTCATTAAAATAGCTACGTGTGATATTCTAACCTGAAGTGTGTGTTTTGTTCCGCTAACCGCTGCAGGTTATCATACAGAGCTGCGTGTCGACTTGTCAGCAGCAGCTGATCTCTCTCCCGTCAGATTAGGCTGCAGCCACACGAGGACGATAACGGTCGTATCCGCTACAGTTCTCTATCCTATAGACGGTTCGGCCACACAAGGCCGACAGGGAAACGCAGATAACGATAACGGGTCCCAAGTAGTGTTGCATGGTCAGGGTTGCACACACATAGACTATACTTGGGCGGGCCGCCCAGGTATATTAACGGCCACCCAAGTATATTTCGTGACCCATTTAGGTTTTTTTTTTATAATTTTTTTTTTTATTCGTCCGTGATTAACTTGTGGACAATGATCCCTCGCTCCCTTGCTCTGATCTCGCCTCCTTCTGGCCTGTTAAGTGGCTTGCCTCACACAGGGTGACTGGCTGTCCACATGATGTGGCCTGCCGACATGGCCACTGTCATACAGATCATAAATCAAAGCCCTTGATTGGTCTCTGTGTCATTCAAGCTCGGGATAACCTCAGCTCAGGTGAGGTAAAGGACTCTCTGAGTGTTTAGATAGTTAACTTAGTCTAAGTTCTCAGTGGGTCTCAAACGGTGTGGTCACCATTTATGTAAACACATATTTCCATTTGAGAGGGTAGTGATTGATCTAATGGATAGTGAGGTGGGCTGAAGATCGGAAGGCTGTGAGTTCAAATCCCGCCAGGAACACCACCACTAGTGTGCCCTTGAGTGAGGCACTTAGCCCTTAGTTACTCCAGGGAGAATGTCCCTGTAATCGGTCATTATAAGTCGCTTTGGATAAAAGCGACAGCTAAATGAAATGTAATGTGATTAGTCAAATATGCATGAATAAATATAGTAGATTTAAACTATAGGGCTATCATTATAGGCCCTGCCTGTACCTGTTCGCTCTGCCATCGCGTGAAGGGTCTGCTAACAAGCGACCAACAGAAAGGTCAATGTTAATGTTGTTGCACGTCACCTCAACCCCCCCCCCCCCAAGTATATTTCAGATCTGTGGGAAACACTGGCAGTTAATGGACCAGCACCAGAGGCATTCCCATACACACAGGCGTTGGAGCTGTTCTTCATGAAATCCCAGAAGGATGAAATGCTCTGACAAACAGTGCCATCTTTGCGCAAAATGATTATACAGGAACGAAAAGTCAATAAATAAACATGTTGTTAAAACTTTTTTTTTACCTGCAGCTCCGCCTGCGATGGAGCGATGAGCGGAACAAAACACACACTTCAAGTTAGATCATCACCCTTAGCTATTTTAATTACCTCTCAAACTACCTAAACTAGTTATAACAGGGTTCGTACGGTCATTGAAAACCTGGAAAAGTCATTGAAATTCAAAATGCAAATTCCAGGCCCTGGAAAAGTTATGGAAAACAATATTTTTCCAAATATTGGAAAAGTCATGGAAATGTAACTAAAGTTGCATCAAATATAATTTACATTTGATCTAATCGCCGAAATAATCTGCGGTCGCAAGCTGTTATGTGCCATCATGGTGTTATTTTTTAATATATGAAGCGCGAGCTCGAGTCTTCCTGCCTGTCGGCTGAACTCTGCTGCTACATTACCTACGTGTGCGTTCGTTAACAGTAACTGTGTGGTCCGGAGTCACTGTGGCACAGACTGGATGGCTGGTGAACAGCTGTTAGAACGGGCCGTTCAGGTGTTCAGAGCAGGGCTCCCTGTCGGAGCGACAGAGCGTGATGTGCACTGAAAAGTTTTTCTGTCGCATTATTATTTAAAGGTCACATGTCATGGCCATTTCCACTGATCATAATTCCATTGTTGAGGTCTACTAAAATAGATTTATACTGTGCAATTTTCCAAACTCACATTGGTTTCGCATACAGCATCTCAGTAAAGTATGTGTATTCAGCAGTATTCACTCTCTCCACTAAACGGCTCGTTGCAGCTCTTGCCCCCCCCCCCCTCCCTGTGAGCCCAGTGTGCTCCGATTGGTCGGAACCAGTCGGGACGTTGTGAATCGCGCTGAGCTCCGTGGAGGTGTGATTTCCTTGTTTAGCTATACACAGCCAAACACAGCCAAACTCAACCTGAGCACACACAAAGTCACAGCCGAAGTAAAAACAATAAGTGTGGCTTGATATTGAGTAAGAAAAAGGTTGATAAACGCTGTGAGAATGGGTTTGCAGAGAGAATGGGTCTGCAGAGAGAATGGGTCTGCAGAGAGAATGGGTCTGCAGAGAGAATGGGTCTGTAGAGAGAATGGGTCTGCAGAGAGAATGGGTCTGCAGAGAGAATGGGTCTGCAGAGAGAACGGGTCTGCAGAGAGAATGGGTCTGCAGAGAGAATGGGTCTGCAGAGAGAATGGGTCAGCAGAGAGAACGGGTCTGCAGAGAGAACGGGTCTGCAGAGAGAACGGGTCTGCAGAGAGAACGGGTCTGCGGACAGAATGGGTCTGCAGAGAGAATGGGTCTGCAGAGAGAATGGGTCTGCAGAGAGAATGGGTCTGCAGAGAGAACGGGTCTGCAGAGAGAACGGGTCTGCAGAGAGAACGGGTCTGCAGAGAGAATGGGTCTGCAGAGAGAATGGGTCTGCAGTGAGAATGGGTCTGCAGAGAGAATGGGTCTGCAGAGAGAACGGGTCTGCAGAGAGAACGGGTCTGCAGAGAGAATGGGTCTGTAGAGAGAATGGGTCTGCAGAGAGAATGGGTCTGTAGAGAGAATGGGTCTGCAGAGAGAATGGGTCTGCAGTGAGAATGGGTCTGCAGAGAGAACGGGTCTGCAGAGAGAATGGGTCTGCAGAGAGAACGGGTCTGCAGAGAGAACGGGTCTGCAGAGAGAATGGGTCTGCAGAGAGAATGGGTCTGCAGGGAGAATGGGTCTGCAGAGAGAACGGGTCTGCAGATAGAACGGGTCTGCAGAGAGAACGGGTCTGCAGAGAGAATGGGTCTGCAGAGAGAACGGGTCTGCAGTGAGAATGGGTCTGCAGAGAGAATGGGTCTGCAGAGAGAATGGGTCTGCAGAGAGAATGGGTCTGCAGAGAGAACGGGTCTGCAGTGAGAATGGGTCTGCAGAGAGAACGGGTCTGCAGAGAGAACGGGTCTGCAGACCCGTTCTCTCTGCAGACCCATTCTCTCTGCAGACCCGTTCTCTCTGCAGACCCGTTCTCTCTGCAGACCCATTCTCACTGCATGCAGAGAGAATGGGTCTGCAGAGAGAACGGGTCTGCAGACCCGTTCTCTCTGCAGACCCATTCTCTCTGCAGACCCGTTCTCTCTGCAGACCCGTTCTCTCTGCAGACCCATTCTCACTGCATGCAGTGAGAATGGGTCTGCAGATAGAACGGGTCTGCAGAGAGAACGGGTCTGCAGAGAGAATTTCGCCGCGATCCCAACTGTCTGTTATCAGCCTGCAGCCAGGGAGGAGAAATCAGCAGAGCTGCATGCACTGAGTGAGTGAGTGAGGAAGTCCGTGGATTGGTCAATTTGGACCAATCAGCGGGGACTTAACGTAACGGCTCCGCGGACGTAACGTAACGGCTCCACGGATTGCTCCATTTCGTTCCGGGGACGACGTGACATCATGATGTACCCGGAAGAATCAAATGGACAGTGACGTATCTCCAACGAGGCGTTTTGGAGAGGTATTTTCTGTGTTAGAGTTTTACTCCCTACATGGTGTACTTTGAGGGTTTTGACTCTGCACACCGTTTACATGCATAAAAACCTTCATAACACACAAGGGGACGGGTAATAACCGGAAAAGCATGACATGGGACCTTTAAGGAATCGTTGAGCTAGCTAGCTAGCATACATTGTCACTATCTGCTAGCGTTAGCTTTAGCCTTAGTTTTCTAATAGTATTTTTCATAGGCTATAAACAGAGGTCGTATAAGTATAGATATTGTACTGGAGTAAAAGTAGAAGTACTCAGATCTTGTACTTAGTAAAAGTAGAAGTACCAGAGTGTAGGAATACTCTGTTACAGTAAAAGTCCTGCATTCAAAATGTTCATCAAGTGAAAGTAGAAAAGTATTCTCATCAAAATATAGTGAAAGTAGCGACAGTAAAAGTAGTCGTTGTGCAGATTGGTCCATTTCAGAATAATATATATGATATGTTTTATAATGATTGATCATGAAAGTGTTATCAAAGCTGGTGAAGGTGCAGCTAGTTTGAATGACTTTGTATACTGCAGGGTAGCTGGTGGATTTACTCCAGGTGGAACTAAAGTCTGATTTAACACTTGATTAGATTTCACATCATTCATCCACATCTGTGAAGTAACTAAAGGGATTAAATACCATTTACCTCTGAACTGTAGAGGAGAAGAAGAACAAAGTAGCAAAAACATTGAAATACTAAGTATCTCAAAAGCAGTGGCGAACCGTCAGGGCCTTCAAGGTATTCAGAGAATACCCTGGAACAAAAAATCGATTTAATTATATAAATAAAATGTATATAAAATGAATAAATGAGAATCGTATCTGTGTTGGACCATGCACTACGCATTTCAGTGGTTTTGGGGGGGCGGCGGTGGGGGGTGTGTGTGTCTACAGAAGGTCCAGTTGTGATAGACACGGTTCGCCACTGCTCAAAATGTTACCTAAGTACAGTACTTGTTGAGTTTATGAACTTGTTTACTTTACACCTCTGGCTATACAGATAGAAAGACTAAGCCTTGCACAGAGGCATGACAATACATTTTCAAAATGCTCAACAGTGCTACCAAAATTATAAACTGACTGCTACACAATTAAAATAAATGCTTTTAATAATAATAATAATAATAATAATACATTTGATTTATATAGCACACTTTAAAGACAAACGTCATCTCAAGGTGATTCACAAAGCTATAAGGAAAAATAAGGAAAAATATATCTAAAGGAGCATATTGGATAAATATATATATTTATATTAGATGTGACTCTTTAGCGTTTCTGTTATTATCACCACTGTTGCTTTAGTTGTTCTGACTGCTAAAATCCTCTGTTATACTTATACCTAATTTTAAAGCCGATATCCCGTGGGGTCGGGGGGCTTTTTCATACCTGATGTGTTTGCATCCCTGACTACAGTTGCTTTAGCGTGTAGAAGCTAGTAAGCCTACTATTTGATTTGTTTTAGATAGGCACTACATGTTTCATATGCAGACCTTATTTTCCTGTTCCATGTTAAAATAAAACATGTTCAGTGGTACCACTGAGAAAGAGTAATTTTTTTCGCTCATGGAAAATTAGGTAAAGATCATGGAGAAGTCACTGAAAAGTCATTGAAAATCATTAGTGAAAAAGTGTATGAATCCTGTTATAAATATGTTTTTTTTGACTGTCGGGTCCCTCATTACTGGATCAGCCAGCTGCATGAGACCACGGATACTGACGGGCTGTCAGGAGAGGGGGAGGAAAAGAGAGGCTCCGTCCTGCGTGTATTCTTATATTATTATATAGTCGTTATTCTTTTGTTTTAAAGCTCAATAAATAACAAAGAAGACCTTTGACTGGCACTTTTATAATTTTGTCCGGAAAATTTAAACTTTAACGGACATGTTGACCGGCGAAACCCCACCTCTGCTGCTAAATCCAGCGTGGAGAATAAACAGAAGGGCAACCATGGCAACCATGCATGCGCGGGAAGTAGGGCTGCTCAATTAATCGTATTTTAATCGCGATTACGATTATGTCTTGCAACGATTATGAAAACATCGTAATCAAAATAAAACGATAATGTTTTATTATTACTTTTTTTTTTTCAGCTGAATTATACTTAAAGTTCAGGGTAATCAACTGTTAAAAACATACTGTTAAAAAAAAAGGTCTACAATAAATTGATGTTTTCAAAGTAAATGGATAATCGTTTTTAATAATCGTGATATCAATTATTGACACAAATAATCGAGATTATGATTTTTGCCATAATCGAGCGGCCCTAGCGGGAAGTCTTCTTCGCTGCTTTTAGTGTATTTTGTGGCGGAAGTACAGCCCTTACAGGCCCGACATATGTACTACACCGTCTCCAGCGGGTCGAGTGGTCTCGTGTGAACGGACACGTTTCTGGTGCCTATTGCGTGTGGACGGAAGACTTTTTTGATAACGATTTCGGTTTGTTTCCGTTATCGTCCTTGTGTGGCTGCAGCCTTAGAATTCACTTGCGTTTATGTCCATATCGATCAGATCCAGCTAGTTCTAGCTAATGATATGACTACCTGCTTATTAAAAGGCACCCAAACAATAAGCGTTGCTATGCTCCCGGGTGAGGCCACAAAGTATAGCGCAGCATTATGCATTTGTTTACATGCCCACCGGAACCCCGAGGCATTACCAACAGATCAACGCACAATCAACCCATACAGGACATCTCTTTCTCCACATTAAGTGTTAGACATTAGAATGGACTATTCTTGTCTGTCACATAAGTGGCGCAACTGATGCGGTATTGTGCCAAGGGGAAATTATTTTGACCTGACATTTTGACCGGAGAGATTTAGATTTGCCGGTCTTCAGCATATTTTACCGGTCAAAGTCCGGTAATTACCGGCTACCGGAAACTCTGCACCACTGTTACAGCCGCTACTTTCGTTATGCCCTTAACTCTGCTTGTGACATTGCCATATTCTGTGATTCCTTAGACTGCCTAGCAGTGTGTATTCGGTGATTCGTTAGACTGCCTAGCAGTGTGTTCAGTAGGGTTCTGTACGAGCACACTGATTAGCAGTGTGTCGTAGTATTCTGTGTCTAGTATAGGGTTTGTGTGTGTGTATTGCGTAGATCCAGGTTGCTTAGCTCCTGTAGAACCGCATTTAGATTATTGACATTGTGAAAAAGCTTAGACCCAGGTTAGCTTAGCGCCTGTAGACCAGCATTTGTGAAACTATTGCTTAGACCCCGGTGATTAGCACCGGTTGATCAGCAACAGCTGTGTTCCCACACAGCTTCCTTTTGTTTAGTGTTTTGTTCCACTTTAGAAGTGAGGTACGTTCTTTCTTTTGTAGCATACTGTGCAACTCTCTTTTGGAGTCCTTTGTTGTTAACCCGTAACAGTTTGGTCCGTTGTTGGTCCAGGCTGTTCGTGTGGATATTATTGTGTTCAAAGTTTTGGTTACAAATAAACCACCGGTAACAATTACCAATTCCAAACTGGTCGTGTCGTGTTGGAAATGTCTTGTACCCCTAGCCAAGAGGGAACGTAACAACCACTTATAGCTGAGTTACATTACATGTCATTTCTTAGACGCTTTTATCCAAAGCGACTAACATACATTCAGTACTGTGGACAATCTCCACAGGAGCATTTTGGGGTGAAGTGTGTTACCCAGGGACACAACGACATGCTGACTGCAGTGGGATTCAAACTTGCTATCCCCTGATTCGAAGTCCATCACACTAACCACTGAGCCACAGCCTCCGAGTGGAAAACCTTTCCTCTTCCCCAAATGTTTCATGGAATGTTTCATAATCATGGTTTAGTGTAAGCATAAGAGCTCAAACAGTGGATCAGTGAATGCTGACGTCAGCTGTGCTTTTTATGACACGTGTTCAGAGTAAACAGTTGAAATGTTGAAAGTCAACGTAGTGACTTCATTAAAATATAAAACACTGACAAGCCAAGGAAATACTATTTCCAGTGTTAGCTGCTGCCTGCCACTTGTCCACCTGCAGACTGATCCCCTGTTGATTAAAATGAAACCATAAATCGACGGCGATCATTGACCTCCAATGACATTGTTTAATAGCATGTATGACCATTCTTGTAGATAAATAAGGCGCAGTATATATTTTTGGGATGGGATTAGCAAAAACCCCAGAATCTGTATTTACCGGCATTTAAATGACAATGGACGGGGGCCATGACATAGAGGGGAAAGTACCGGATGGGTTGCTCTCATCAATAGTCCAGGAAAGTCGTCCAGCAGCCATGCAGTTAAAGTGAGGCTCAAATGACCCTCTGACATATCCCCAAGTGCCCCACTCATGTCTGCTGCCTCCCCAGGGGCCGTGCTCCGGACTCCATGGAACCAGCGTGTTTAAGCAGCCAGGTCCAGTGGAGGCTCTGAAACAGATGCTGTTCAGACTGCAGGCGGTGGAGGCGGAGCTTCAGAGACAACCACAGGCTCCAGCTGCTGCAACACCTGCTGACAGGCTGCACACAGAGGAGGCTCCACTGAAGCAGGTAACATCACAGCGTGCTTCCAATGCTCATGTGAAATAATATAGCTTGTGATGCTAAATAGGGTTTACCTCATCTATTCTTTACAAAAGTCCCTGAACATACCTCAGGGCTCTGCTGTCAACATTCAGCTGTGCTGTGAGGAACAAAGCTAACTCGTGGAGAGAAAAATACCTGAGACGTCTGTAGGAGGAGACTTAAGAAGGCCAAATTCACCTGCCAAGTTCATGTTAACTTTTACAGAGGAGGTACATCAATCCGTGCTCTCTGGAAATGTTCTTCAGAGAATCAAACTAAACACCTATTTAACAGCTGATTGCTTACAAGTTAGGAGTAAAAGCGGTCAGAACAGAAGTTTGTGTCTGACAAAGTACAATGTTAGTAGCCTTATCTTATTCCTTTGTAACCCATCTTCTTTGCCCAGAGAAATAGTATTATACATCCAGGTTTTCTGTTATTCCTCTCGTTTGCAGATTGAAACAGCTTCAATGTCCACTTGCTGTCATGGTGACACAAGAAACTTGTTTAGATTTAGCTTTGCAGTTTTGTTTCATCGAGCCTAATTAAGATAACTGCAACTGCAGTTTGTGCTTTAGAATCATTAGAACAGGGGTCAGGAACCTTTTTCCTATCAAGGGCTATTTGCATTTTTACAACATCCTTCAAGGGCCATTCTAATTGTTGAACTTATAACCTCTGCTAAAGTGAAGACGGATAACACATTAAACTCAGGGGAATCACTCCTGAGTTTATTCTGTTTGTTTCGCAAATTATTTATCATCTAGTTAAAGATAAGTGCTAATACATCTGAACAACAAAATGGACCACATGCAACTTTCTTCATCTAAATATTTTTTTGTTTTGTTTTGTTATAAATCTCAGACAGTTTTGTTTGATCTAAAGTTTTTTGACATAACTTGACTCATAATCTCATCATTTCTTGGTTAACTATGTCACCGAACAACATTTGTGATCCATTCATCTATTTAGACTGCCATGTTCCGCCCATGTTGTGTTCAAAGACCCTGACGTGGCCAGGAAAAACAGTCAGGAGTCAGGAAAAACTGTGAGGAGCCTGTTATATTTTGTTGCAGTCTAGATTTAAAATAAAAAATCGAGGGCATCATTGCTCTGACCAAGCTACTGAGAGATAATCTCCTTATAAATGTAGTCCATTAACCAATAAACAGACCTGTGGGTGTATAACAGGACCCAGTCTGAGCCCCATTTGACTGAATAATTGTGGATGCAGACCCATACTGGGTTCTGCAGCGCTTGATTAAAACCACCAACTGCTCAGAACCTCATTGATACCAGCGTCAGTCATATCCGTGAGCTCACCAGGCTGGCACCATCAGAACATAGATCAGCTTATTTCCTACAGTCTACAGACACCAATCATAAAACACCACCCAATATGGAAGAGTATTTTTCTTTTAGTTTTTATATCTGGGGAATGTTTTCCAGGTGACATGGAGTTGTGTGTGTGTGTTGCAGAGATCTGAAGGTGGGGCCGATCTGGAGACTTTTCCTGGTGGACCTTCACTTCAGAGGTAACTGGCTCTGAACACATTCTGCTGGTCAGGGTTTCCCGTTCACATGTACTGTTGCTGTTGTCATTTATCCTGGGAAACATCTCAATATCTAAAATTGTTTAAAAACCTGGAAAAGTCATGGAAATTCAAAATGCTAATTCCAGGCCCTGGAAAAGTTATGGAAAACAATATTTTTCCCACATTTTTGGAAAAGTCATGGAAATGTAACTAAAGTGGCATCACATATAATTTATATTTTATCTAATCGCCAAAATAGTAATACTATAATGATAATAAATACTGTATCCTATAGTAATGAAACGTAAAATGGCATTTCACTGACGAGGTATTTTGCTGGTGAGAGATTTGAGTTGCTTTAGCGTGTAGAAGCTAAGCCTACTATTTGATTTGTTTTAGATAGGCACAACATGTTTTATATGCAGACCTTATTTTCCTGTTCCATGTTAAAATAAACCATTTTCAGTGGTACCGCTGAGAAAGAGTAATTGTTTTGGTCATGGAAAATTAGGTAAAGGTCCTGGAAAGTCATTGAAAATAATTGGTGAAAAAGTGTATGAACCCTGTAAAATAGGATGATGAACATGATAAACATTATAGCTGCTCAACCTCTAGCCCAGGGGTTCCAAAAGTAGGGGGGACCCTGAGTGGGGGTCACGAGATGATTACAAAATAAAAATTGAAAAAAAAGATGTGAAAAAAATGGTATGCATTTTTTTTAAATTATGATTAATAATAACGTGTGCATAGACCATTTTCAAGGGCGGACTGGCAATCTGTAGAATTTCCCCGCAGATGAACCACACCATAACTCTGTTTGTGTGCATACTCTCCATATGCTGCACTGTGCCCTTGGGAAGCCCTCAAATGTACATGTTCAAATGTTTGCATTAACTCGCACCAACACAGTTGTAAGTTGAGAGCAATGTTTTTGAAGAATATTTTCAAACCTCAGAGCTATGCATCACCTGAGCCGTCTGAAAGTGCTGGTGGAAGAACCCAAAGAGAAACCCAAAGAGGGCAGAAGGACGAAGATGAAGGACGTTACTCCTCTTCCTCTGCTGACGGACTCTCCTGCACCCAGCTGAAACCCTCCTGAAGCTGAAGTCCTCTTCCAGCACGAGGGCCTTCGGTTAGTGTGGCCCTCAACCCTCAGGCAGTGTGGACCTCAGAGTCCTCTCTGTCCTCTGGGACTGCTGGCTGTCACCTCCAGCAGCAACATCACATGGTCTTAGATTACGTCCGTTCTGGAGTTGTGTGTTGGATGAAAAGGTGCAATCCTCTAAAACATTACTCGGCCAGAGACTAAATCACATTTTTTGTTTTAATATGTTGAAGTTGTTTAAAGTGTTAAAAAACAGCTTTAAAACATTGGATACAGCTCACAGTTGTGGAAGTTTGAAAAAGGACATGGAGACAAAAAATATAGACCAAATAAACGTTTTGTAAGTCCTCTTGTTGGACATTTGACCGGGGTTACAGGAAATGATGGTTCCTAAAGCTCTAATACAATAAAAGGGATATCAGACGGAAAGAGCTGTTGGATGGTGGATTGTTTTACTTTTGATGGAGCGAGACCTCCGCTTCCAGTTTTTGTGCTGGTTCTGCAGCGTCTCAGTGATGTTAAAGACAATCCCTCTCTGAAGGAAGAAATGACCAAGCAGATGTTCTAAAAGTGTCATATTGATATCAGAAATAGCCAATATGAATAAAGGACATAATGTTGTTTGTTACTGCACTGACATTTTCTTCAATGATAACTCTTTCTATAAATAGCCAAGCTATCAGTGATGCTCTCCGGATGGCAGTGTCACATTGCTAGTTGGATACATTAATGCATTAACATGTTAGCATTCTGTCAAGTAAAACTAAACCTAAGCTTGGAAATGTGTCAGAAGTTGAACCCATTCATTTTCTCTTTTTTTATTTTGCTATACATCAGCATGTTTACCATGGATGTGAGCATGCTAAGTGGAGCATTTTAAATTATGAACGTTAACAAGTGAACATGTCAACTGTCACTGTAGCCATAATAACATGCTATCATTAAAATGTCTAAATGCCAACTTTTCCATGTTTTTACGTGTTAACATTACTTATTAATGTGATGCTGATGAAGAGGCCATGCTCAACTCCAAAGTCTAAACCCCAACAAGAAGAATGTGGTGATCTATATGATCAGACCTTTGGAACTTTACACTTTGATTATTTGGGAAAGCTCTTAGTTCAACACAGGAAGAAGACATTTTTTTTAAATATTTGTATTCATTCTTGCACCGCTCTATACACATAACAAGTGAAACAGATACAAAACTGTGAAACAGGGAAATATTATAACTGTCTGTCTGAGCAGAGGGGGTGTACAACTGAATCAGGGTTTAATGCCAAGCTGGTTTATACATATGAGGAATTAGCTTTGTTGCACATAAACACAGTAAGAGGAATACCTTCTAAAAAAGGAGCAAAAGGTAATACTATAATAACAACTATTATAACAAATGAAAAATAAAGAAAATGTGTACAGTACAAATATAACATATAATGTAATGTGGAGAGCTGTGCAGACTTTAATTGTCTGTCAGAGGCATAACACAGCTCCATATAATATTACTTTATGTTATAATAATTTATGGCGTTAAACTAACAAATTAGATATCGATACTGGAATTTACCACCACGTGGTAGCAGGCTGTGTGAGACGGAAAGCATGTGACCAAGTTTTCCATAGCTACTCTTTGGGTAGACTCTGCGCCGCACTGTTAGTTTCATGGATGTATAATGAGAAATAAGTTAGTTTAACCATAGGGTTTTAAATTAGAACTGTTGACAACCTGCTGGTGCTAACTCAGAAAAACGAAGGACTGGGAGGGGCTACATTGTTAACCAGTGCACTATTGCGGTAAGCATGTTGTAACTTCCGGTTGTTGTCATCTCCGGGTATCCCGTGTGCCCGTTCTGTTGCTGATAGCTTATTATCTTAACTTAATCGATCGTTTTAAAACTCTTGATCACGGCAACTGCCTGACGTAATCACACGTTACTATAACTTAAGCACTCACAACTCTCCTTCTCTTAGCGACTGTAACTCCACAGTTGCCTACACTCTTTTCGGGTTTGCTAACGGTAGCTACTTTAGCTTGATAGCTAGCCATGGCTCTTTCCCCACCCTCGGGTGCTATTTCCTGCTCTAACTGTCTCATGTTTGGTTACTTCCCTACCTCCTTTACTGGTACCGATACATGTGTTAAATGTAGTATAGTTGTTAGGTTGGAGGCGGGAATCATAGCCATAGAAGCCCGGCTCCGCATCTTAGAAATAAACTCAGCTACAGTAAAGCCCATGTTAGCCGGTGCGGACCGGCAAAAGGTAGCTCCTATTAGCCGTCCCCCGGCAACTCCCGAGCAGCAGGGAGATGGGTGACTGTTCAGAAGGGGCATAACGCGAGACCCGCAGGTCCCCACCAACCCGTTCATGTATCTAACAGATATTCCCCACTCAGCGAGACACCCGCTGAGAAGCCAACTCTGGTTATTGGTAGCTCTATTATGAGACACGTGAAATTAGAGACCGAAGCCTCCACAGTCACATGCATTCCGGGGGCCAGAGCGGGCGACGTTGAGGCGCATCTTAAACTGCTGGCTAAAAATAAACGTAAATACAGTAGGATTGTTATTCACGTCGGTGGTAATGATGTTCGTTTACGCCAATCAGAATGCACCAAACTTAATGTGGAGTCGGTGTGTAGTTATGCTAAAACAATGTCGGACACCGTAATCTTCTCTGGTCCCCTACCCAATCTGATCAATGATGACATGTATAGCCGGCGCATGTCATCATTTCAGCGCTGGTTGTCTTGGTGGTGCCCAGCAAACAATGTGGGCTTCGTAAATAATTGGACAGCCTTCTGGGGAAAACCTGGTCTGGGGCCTCATTTATAAAGGGATATACGCTCAAAAGATGGCGTACGCCAGTTTCTACGCAATCTTTGCGATTTATAAAATACTAACTTGACGGGAAAACGTGCGGTCCTCCACGCAAACTCTAACCCATGCGTACGCACTAAGCACAAAAACGGGAGAGACGAGAAACTGCGACACCGTTGGCAGAAGGAAGAATGGAGAGAAATGTGTGGAAATAATACCATCAATAAAATGTTACCTCTCATTTATCACATATGAAGAATTCATTTTCAAACATTGATTAAAGCCAATCTTAAAATGATTAAACAAACGCCTGTTTGCGACTCCTCAGTGTACACAAAAACATAACTTGGAGAAATAAATAATAATAATTTAGAATTACGTCTAAACTGAGGCCGTTTTGCATTTCTATAGGTTGTAGATACGACCGGCCGGGCCAGTAGCAGATCGGTGAAAAAATATTTAGCTGTCCACTCCTCATTATACACTCGGCACTCAATGTTGACTTTTCTTTTCTTTGGTCCACTCAATAGAGGCTTCTCAATACTCACATTTCCCCTCCTCGACTCCTCGGTCCTCGGTCCTCCGGTAGTGACCCGGAAATGAATTTCAGCGCGCCATTTTGAAGGACATCTCATTTCTCTAAATGCACACCGAGGATCGAGCGTCGAGGAGGCTCTCTGGAGGAGCTCTAACCGAGGATACACTGATGGTTCCTCCACGGCTCCTCCACGGATGCATTTCCGGGAACGGTGGAGGCGTGACGCACGGCCGGACTTATCTCAGCCAATGACAGCTATGCATGCATCCCCTGGATATTATTTTAGAAACTGCTTTAATCGCGTCGCGATGTTTCCAGAGAGAACAGCTGTAAGGTCCGTGCAGAAAGCAGAGCAGTGTGTATAATATATATCACTCAGTATAACAGGCCTACTCTCTTTATTTGCTTTAGTTTAGTAGATATCTACAAACAAAGAGTCCATATTTTTCTAAGACCATTGCTTCACATAATAAAATACACAACGGCTTATGCTTTAGGAGCTGTAGGTGTGTGTGGTAGGCTACAGTGTGTAGGTGTGTGTTGTACAGTGTGTAGGTGTGTGTGTGGTACAATGTGTAGGTGTGTGTGTGGTACAGTGTGTATGTGTGTGTTGTACAGTGCGTAAATGCGGCGGACAGACGGGTCTCAGTTGGTTTGGTGTCCTCTGCTTACTTTTAATAGGCCTACTTGTAAATACAACTTTTGGCCCGTAATTTCAATTCCCCATTTCAGCGACAAGAGAGAGGGGGGGATATATCCAGTCTCTGATTGTGTTACATTATTATGAGAGTGCTCTCATACTTTAAATTGTATATATTTATATACATATATTTGTGTGTGTGTGTCCGCATCTGTAGCCTGTTATTGTCTCATTATACCGCACTCTCAATGAATTCAAAGTAAATATGTGGGGGAACAATGTTCAACTGATCTAACAGAGATACAGCGCTATGATAAAACACTCGACAGCTGACGCAGCTGTTGCCACGTAATAATGAACGGACGTCTCTTTAAAATGACCGCTCAGAGGAGAGGAGTTCTCATTTCTTTAAACGTCTGCTGCTTCCCCTCCTCTCTCCTCGGTCCTCCGCTCGCATCTCCTGTGGGCGGGTCTAAGTCTCGAGGAGGGGAACCAAGGAGGGGAGTCGAGGAGGGGACATTTGAGTATTGAGAAGCCTCTATTGTTACAGATGCAGGTTCAAAGGTGAATTAGGTTCAAAGGTGAATTATTGCGTCATTGCGTCATTGTTTACGTCATGACGTAACCGTTTACGTGCCTTCTTATGACCCACACATCCTTTTACGTCGCTGATTTTCTCCGCAACACCGCTCACAACAACATCAATAGAAGACTGCGTCTGGTAGTTTTTAATTATACGAAGCCAGATTAAATTAAAGAACTACTTCTCTAACCTTGTACCTTTCTCCAGAGTGCCGTGGTGCATTGTTTATTAATGTGGTTCAGCTGCATTACCGCCCGCTGCAGTGCTGCTCGTCTACCGCAGTTTATTCTCCCGTTAACTCGCGGCAGCGGCCGCTGTAAAGTGTTCACTGTCTGACTGTCACACAAGCAGCTGATAAATATCCCCCATCCCCATCAGTGAATGTGTTTTAGTCTGAAAGCTATTTGGCATCACAACGCTGGTATGAACGTTTCTCTGGCATTCTACTGTGATGTTAGCTAATCAGACTATCTTGACTACTTGTTGCTATCATATTGTGGCATAAGCCGTTTTCTACACGCATATTTTACCGGCGTAGTTTTCGTTATGATTTTACTTGTGATGGCCACATGTAGCCCATGTATTGATTCCATCCGATATTTGCAATAATACAAAACAACAGGAAAACGTCTGCCTCTTCACAATGGTCAATAACAGTGAACGGATGGTTATTAAAGTAAGGTCAAATGAACAGAATCACACTAAGCCTGGTTAGTGTTGCCTGACTTTATATAAGTGTGTGGTCGCGTTCTGGTCACTTTTCTCAGCGCTGCTTGTTACAACTTGTATTCGCTGTACTCGCCATGAACTGTTATTGCTCAGCTTAATCTCGCCCCCTCCAATGTAAGCGTGAAATATTTGGTTCTTTGATCTTGCCGGGTTGCCGAGTGGGGCCAGCTGAGAGAATAGACCAGACTCCAGCAAAGGTAAATTGTGTCTAGAGTGCGCCATATAGTGGGATCAACTGAAATGCTGGGTATTTCAGGAAAAAGGCAAAAATAAATGCGGTCTTTACTATCATTTGGACAATTTTGTACCAATATTCGGCGGGCCGGATTCAAAAGCCCAATGGGCCGTATATTGCCCACGGGCCTTAGTTTGCCCATGCCTGCTATATACTGTATTTAGAGTGGAGAGCTGTGCTGATTTAAAAGAGGTAGTGTGGAGGAGAAATGTGCAACATGTGCAGTATTAAGCATTTTAAAAAGAACAAGATGTTGTTCACATGATGTCAGAGGCGCGGGAAGGTATTTTAAGTGGGGGTGCTGAGGTGCTGGACTCCAGTGAACACTATTACGGGCACTATAGAGCACGCACAAAAGCACTCTCCACACGCAAACACACAGTACACCCGCGACTGTTACAATGAAGGCTCGATAATCAGCTC